CTATCCGATGTTCGACGTTCGTGTTTTCCCTCCGGCTTAATGGAATAGAGATCGCACAATTAGGAAGGCGCGATTTATCCGCAAACAGCAAGAATCTAACGACATTTGGGCCGAGCTCTCTGTCCGGCGTTACAATGCCCACTGGAGACGTGCACGGTTAATCTGCTTAATCTAGCGTGTGGAACGCCATTTTGGCGGTGCGCCAATCTCGCCGGATTTCACCCTATACCCCGGCCAGTCGGCCGACCAGGTTCTCCGGTGGCCGAAGGCCGAAGATCATCGTAATCGTAGTATAATAACCCCGCTTCGCGCGGAATGGTCGGCAATTGTCCGACGATTGCTTCTGAAAGAGGCGATGATTGCCAGTTCTTTGGGTCGCTATACTTTTCTCGCGATCGATAGTCCTGTATAGATATATTCACTGAGAGTGTGTGCTAACAGGAAGATAATATCGTGGTACTAAAATGTCTTCTTCTACTGACAACTCTCAGATTACTCTGTAATTTCTATTTTATGTACGCGTAACAATTACGAGTTCTACAGTTATTAAGTGTAGATCTTTTTATTTTTGTATGAGAGAGAAGATGATATCATGGAACTTGCTGGCACAGCAAAACTACATTGCAGTTTTGCCGCGACAACAAGATTCTTTTTCTCCGTGTGCCCGCGGTGTGAATGAAATAATTAACGCGATTGCATTCTCCTGGCATCCCGGCATACTCCATCACCACTCAAAATCTTATTAAAAAGATCTGACGCTATTGTTCGGGAGACGGATTCCGGTTTTGGCTGAAATGGCACGGAAGTTTCCTTGATTTATGTCCGGTTGTAACGAGGAAGAGAGAAGGAGCGGCAGCTGCGAAAAAATAATTCTTCCGCTCATCGCGCCGCGTGCGCAGCTTCAACCGTGACATAAATCACAGCAAAGCCGCCGTCTCTCACACCTCGCGATGGCGGACGGATGATGCGGAATTACCGAGCTGCACTTTGTAATATTAAAAGTCCGGATAATGTATCACTATTAAAATGTAGCAGCCTGAAGTTACGTCTCGACGGCACCTGCTAGTAAATTTTTGTTTCCGTGCTAAGCCGTCGGAGATACTATTTTCGCGTTTTAAATAGTAGAAGAAATTGCAGTTTATTCTTATATACATTTTACGTATCTCGCATTCACATTAATTTTTGAATAATGCCTGAAATTTATCATTATTAAACATTTCGCGTTCTGCCAGACCCATTGTTTTGCCGATCTTAATGCTGCGATGCGTGATTTATTACGAGCGAATATTCCTGATGTAATTAATTGCGGTATATGTATATTTACAGACGTAATTATTATTACTTATGCTTGACATTTAATTCATTTGTGGCTTTCTTCTAGTTAAAAACTAGAAGAAAGATATGTAATTTAATCCTGCTGCATTATTTTTTATTTATGACAATTTTGGAATATTAGAGTATGCATCTTGCAGACATACATTTTTTTATGGAATATTTTTTATCTATTTTTATTTTTACGTAATTGACTATAAGTGAATATGAAATTCAGTTGGATACAACAGTTAAAATATAAGGTCTAATGTATATTTTAATTGAGTCACTTTATAAAAACGTGTTCGTAACAAACACGTTCTGGAGTTTATTTGTTACACTGATTATATATCGTATCTGCACTATATAACGTCACGCCTCTTTTTGCTCCTGCCTGATGGTCAATATTTTTAACGCACAAATATTCGTATAGCTTGGATTTCTTGTCGAGAACGGACGTACTCGCATTCGGAAGAATAAATATTTATATGTATAAACGGGAACGGAGAGCGTGGTGTGCAGTGGGCGTCGTTGATAAAATAAATTAAGCTCGTTAGATCTTGCTCAGAGAATCAACGGGGACGACTCGGTTTGCAGGTCGCGTTTGCTTTAAACCTTCGCAAGCGGAATTAACTGGCAGGCAACGCCCACCTCGTGGTTTTACCCCAAGCCGCTCAGCGAGGCTTAATTTGACCACGCCGAATAACAAGGTGGCGAATAATCCTGTACTAGGTCAATATAAAACAAGCCTCCTGTAACATGATGCATTCAGAGCACAATGTAAAGTATCGTTCGCAAAATGCCAGTCGCGTGGACGTTTGATCCGTGCACCTGTCGTGAAAAGTAACATATATACAGTTATCTATATAATAGGACGTAACGAGACGGACAACGAGAGAAAAGCAACAGTACAAATATTAATAAATGTAGATAATACATAAACCAATTCTATAACGGTCTCTTTGAATTATTTTCTTATATAATAAATAATTTTCTTATTTAGTCAGTAGAATGCTATTCAAAATATTTAGCATCAGTTATTATAAATTAATATATTAGTCAACCTAAATAGGACACTTTTAAAAATATGTGCAAACATGATGTTATTTATAGTTATTAGTGTATAGCTTTTCTAATATTTTATTTTAATTATGCTGTTGATGATTGATAATCATTAATTTTATTATTATTATAATTTTTATTATATAATTTTATTTCTACTATGCTAGTTAAATTTCTAACGTTTACTTGTACTACACAGAAGCGTTATTGACTTGTGTAAATAAACGCGGAACACTCTTAGTAGAGGTAGAAGCGAAAGCATGAAGCGAAAGCATGAAGCGAACGCATAAAGCGAAAGGATATCCGACATTTCGTATGAATAATCTTTTGCTTTTACTACAAAGCATTTGCTTTCTGTTGTGTACTTGTAAGCACCATCATTCTCGGAACTAGCATCAATAACGCAGCCACACAGAATGTACAGGATTACAATATACAAATCAGACTCTTTACCATTCATACATTTTCACAGAATTTTCTGTAATTCTTCAATCACGTAACAATAAATTAACTTCAAATATAAGCAAACAGTGATAATATCTTTATGCATTTTTGATAACTCTTTGATAAATAAAAGCGAAAACGGATACGTTGCCCATGCATGTATTTATTCGCTTTATGACCTATTTCTTTTAATAATGCGTTGTATAATACCTAACTATATTTTATATGCATGACATTTCAAAATAATTTTATCATTTAATCCACGAAAAATTCTAATATATTTTACATCACGTCTTTTTTTTAGTTATCACGTCGTGGATGAAAAAAATCGATCTAAATAAAATTTAATGCGGCTACCGTTAATTAAAAATCAGATTGCTATGAGATATGGTTTAATCATTTTAGGTAAGCGAGTGCAGCTTGTCGTGAGAACTAGATGAATGTTTGCCATATCATAATTCTTGCATCGATCCGCCTCATATACGGAAACTGCACGATAAAACACTCAAATATTGAGGCGTAAAACATACTTCAAACTACGAACCATCGGTCTCTTCTCGCAATTTTTCTGCCGCTTAATCCTATGCAATCCCATGATGCAATATAAACCACTCTGCAAGATTAAACCGAATATCGGGTAGTTTAATCCGTACATTTCGAACGTTTATAGCGTTGGAAATGAAGACCGATACATAGTCGATAAGACAAAGAAGATATGTTTTATTCGTTATTCGGTTACGAAGATAATCTTTATTTCTCGCAGTTGGTTAAACGAAACTTTTCTAAAATTGATATTCAGCTATCCGAGATCTTGAAACTACGTGTTGTCTCGTTCGAGCTTTGTTAGCCAATATTGATAAATTGGTCCGGTTATTGGTTTGGTATTGATAACGTTGAAATAAATATCAACCTTTTTTTAAAATAAGTATCGGTATTTGATTCGTTTGGAAATCGCAAGTATTGGAAGCTGTTAATATTAATTGAATGATTATATCGTTACCTACTAAAGCATTATCTTCACAGTTTGTAATATGTTTATAATAACCATATCGAATTACGATAAGAAGGAGAGGAAATAACGAGAACAATTCTTGTATCTTATGCTTGCGAAAACTCGAGACAGATTTATGCGTCAGAAACTTTGTTTCGGTCCGACTGTTATTTCTCTTGCGACTCTAGGGGAAGTATATTATTCTAGCCAACTGTATTTAATTATTCTTTGTTTCTACATGTCAAATAGCAGAGTTTATGTCATATTTTAACGATAATAAACTAGTTTTGTTAACAGAAGACCATTTACGTGAACTTAAATTGGCAGGAACGTTCGTCCGTATAATCCTCATCATCCTCTCGATGTTATGATTCAAGATGGCTGATAGCATGATGATGAACTTCTACTCGTGTGTACGCCATCGGCAATTTACATTTCCGTGACGCGGTGACGGGTCTCCAAAGATCGTCGAGAGCGTTTAACGTTATTCGCCGGACGTCGCGCGCGCGTGCACCGCAGCGGGCATCTCAAAGGGTTAAAAGTTTGAGATTACCAAGAGCGTTCCGCACATCGAGTTTCCTGGGAGTTTCCGTAAAGCAACCAGGTGCAAACAGATCTGATCGCCTCGAATGCACGGGAACTCCCGGGAGCTCGAGGCGAAAACAGCTAGTATACACTCGAATCTTTCGACTTAGATGCCGTAAGTTTTGTAGCGGAGCGGAACAAAGCGAACGGAGGGGCGACCGATAATGAGCAAGTTTTCAATTCTTCGTACCTCATCGGCTGCAGGACCGCCCCTCGAGCTTCAGTTTACTTTCGCGAAGAGAATCACTCGTCGACATCTCGCGTCGATCTCGCTTGTTTATCGAGCTTAATTTCGAAATGTATGTATTTCATTTCGCCTAACATTGTCCGAGGACAATGGATGAACGATTGCGCGCGACATTTGATGGTATTATCTACTTTCTGGTCTCTTGTGGAAATATAGATTTTGGAGAAATGAGTTTCGCGCGCGCGAAGCAAAAAATTATAATGAAATAAGTGTCGACAAGTTTCGCACCTTTTCTTTTCTACGTCACAGCGTTGTAAATGCAAATTTGTTATTTAACTCTGAGGCGAAAATCCTCGTATATATTATTCATGGAATAGATAAGAAAGAAAATTGGGAGATAAGGTAAAAAATATCACTCACCGAGCTGACAACGATCTCCACCTCTTCCGAGAGGACACTGGCATCTCTGTCTGAACGTTCCTTGCTTTCGTCTGAGGTTCACGTTATTGCCCTCGAGATCCACGGCTCCGTCGTCTTCGTCTTCGATCACCACATCGACTTCATCTCCGCGAGATTGCTCGATATAACAATTTCCAGCCGGTCCGCAGTCCAAGGAACACGCTGGCTCAGTGCTCACGATGCTCTCCATTGTGGATGGCAGTTTTTGCTCCAGATTTGGGCCCTGAACATCCACAGGAACAAGAAATGTCATCACCGGTCTGATATTGGATTGCGCGTATAAAAATTAGAGTTTAACGTTGAAAGGGAACTATATAAGCCAAAGAAAGGAGACCAATTTTCTATGTGCTTATTTACGTTGAATTTAGAAGATCCATTTAGAATTAGTCGAAATAATTGGGAATTTTTACCTATTTATTTTTAACCACTCTCTTTTTACACATGTCATTAGATTGTTAAATTACGCTTCTCAATTACATCATTTGAAAATATTCACAATACCGCATTTAACACAGTGTCAAGTACCACATTTATCATAATTATCCTATCTGCATCAACAAGCAGTAATTTTCCCGCAGGGATGACTGATCCGCACAGTCATTTGGGCTTAGCAAACCCACGAACCCGAGCTCAATATACTGCGGACACTCATATTCATCTATACATTACACACAAGCACACACATCCGCGCATTTATGAGTGATACTGATGCAATGAATAATTGGAGGAAAGTAAAAGCAAAAGATATCTTAGAAAGAAGAAAAATAATTAGAGACTAGCTGATGTATATGTGTTAAAAAATGTTATAATATTAAATGCATAATTCGTGAAGCATAAATGTCATGCCAACTTATACCTTAAATAAGAATAATTCTAGACAAGATTGATATATTTGATATATTTGAATAAAAAGTAAGTTAAAGAAAGTTCTGTGAAAGCGTTTTTCGCATAGTTTCGAGCATAACAAAGTGAGAAAAAACTAAAAATATGAGTTTAGTAAACAGCCAAAAAGAAGAGAATATTTATGGTTGACTTTCTGACATCCGCCTCATCACTTATTGATCCCTCTGTTCGCTGTTGTCGATTCAGGGCCAAGAAATTTTCAGAAATAATGGGGTAGCCTGCTGCATGTTAAGAAAGCTGCAGCGGATGTGAAGTACCTGTTGCACGACTCATGTTTTTTATTTGAGGAGACTTTTGAATAAAGATTGGCCTACTGGCCTAGAAGCTGCGAATCTCATGCTTAATGCCAAGGCTTGCGAAATATTAAATTTGTTTACTCGTTTGGAGTGGAAAACCACCCAATGAAGGATTGAACTCACATTATATCGGTTTTATCAAACAGTTAATTTGATGTCATCAAAATTTCTGTGTCAATTCAATTTTATTAAATTTATATAATAATGTCCCATGTAATCAATCACAATGTTAATATTCATTTGCAATAATTTCGGTTAATTTCTATCAGTTGATATACAATTTACATTTTGATAAAATTACAATATTGTCTTATATTGACATTTACCTGTATTTCACCCTTAATTTAATTTTGCTGTCGTTGCGACAAAAATGAAATTTTCAATATTTAAAAAATAAAATACGATTGCACAACGTAAAAAGTACAAAGTGTTACGTCAGATCTTTTAGCATCAACAATCAGTCGGATCGAATCCTTAATCCCGTCATACAAAACTTTACGTTTTGGATGTATCGGGAATATTAATTCGATACTCAAAGGAAGATTCCTCAGTTGAGAACATTCTGAGCACAAGCTCGATTTCACGTAATCGCTATTTCTATACCTCGCACATAGACACGCATACCCATTTACGTCCCTTTACGGAATGTTCTATTCTGGAGTGCTTAATCCGAAGACAATGTTCGATCGATTCTCTCCATTTAGAGCGAATGGTGATGGCACGTGGACACATCGATCAATTAAATCTTTGCAGTTAGTGTGAATTCTTGCGATATTGATTATAATTCCTATGAACAGTATTGAATATTTGCTCTGAATCAATAGAACTAAGTTTGAATTCGTATTTACCCGTCAATTAGTCAAATCTCAAAGCATATATACCGATATATTTGGCACAGCAATTGTGTTTAAATTTTACTTTATCTCTTGTTTTGTTTTAAGATAAATTGATCTTATCTCAATTATATTAATTATATTAATAATATATTCTCATTTATATATTCTCAATTATATATTATATTATATAATTATATATTTCATTGTACATACATGACAATAATAGGATTACTAAAACATTTACGTTAACGTCGCGGACGTAAAATAGTAATAAAATAGTAGCTGTCCCGACATTGTCCTGTACTTTTATCATAGATCAAAGACCTTAGATTTTTCACCGAATACCCCTCTGGAATCCTACATAACAAATGGTCGTAGAACAACATGCAAACACTTACGGAGTAATACGACAAGCTAACCCGGGAAATATGGCGAATAATGTTACCTGAGACGTGGCGCGCAGCTCGATTCGATCCGCGCCGTTCACCTCGTTTATCTTCGTCGCGTTCACGGTGGAATTCTCGGCTGGGGCATCCAGATGTATCGTGAAGGTGGCACCACGCATATAAAGGATGTCTTCGACCGCATCCTCGTCATCCGCGTTGTCCGCATTTGCCTCGTCGCTCTCGGCCTCGTCAACGAGGTCGCCGAGCTCGCTCGTCGATGGCGATGTCGAGTTGAGTTCTGCAACGGAATAGCCGTTCATTCTGTTAGAAAAACTGTCGGGCACAAGCTTGAAATATCGAATAAGCCGTGAGATAACACTGTTGTCTGCTAGAATCGTTTTTACAGAAAATTGACATCGACAAATTATCGAATTCGTGATTTTTTTTATTGTTGCCTCCTTTTCCCTATTTCAATTAATTCTCGTTGTGTGTGCATGTTATCGCAGGAATTATATTTTCTGACAGTTTTACGCTGCGCGGTACAATAATTGTGTAGCACAATATTATTTTTGTTGATATTATAATTTTCCCTTAAATATTGAAAAATTTGTTATGAACAAATGAGCGTGTGCTGTGCGTCATCAATTATCATCTTTCAATTTGCCAAAAATGTAATAAATTTAACCTTCGTTTATTTAAATGAATTATTGAGATATTTAAAATTCTGAAATAAAATCCAAATAAATCAAATGTTCTTAAAAAAGCTATCAAACGAAAAAACGAAAAAACTTATACAACTAATTATGAACTTAACAAAAGACGGTTATCAATTTTTACGCCATCTCGAGTTCAATCTTCAAATCACTTTATCTAGCTATCAAAACCAGACGCAACTAATTATTCATTACAGTGTACCGTGAATATGCAATTTTTCCGTCCCATTTGATAACAAATTGCTTTATTAATTTAAAAAAAAAGTAGAATACTAACGAATCTTAGCTTTCGTCATCTTGCTTCTAAAATAACTTAAAATAACTTAACGCGGCATAGTTGAATGAGCCATTAATTGAAATTGGTATAATTTTGCTGTACTTACGCAAATAAATGAAACGCGACAATCGGTACAAGTTTTGCTTTACGTGGTAATATCAGAAATTGAGTTCATCGAAGTTATAAAGGAGAAGACAAATGTTATGGTATATATCTAATTATACGTAATGGGCGCGGTGTAGACTAAAGTAAAATCAATTTAGCAATATCAGAATCTTATAAAATATTAAAAACAAAACGGGATCTCTCTGCTATTAACACATTTTCTCTTCCACAAATTTCAATCTTTATATGAGTACGCGATGCATTCGCTAAGGATCCCCACGAACTGTTGCACAGCACGACCAGTTCACTGCACATGCAACTGGCACGACGGAGGCAGTAGTGGCGGCCGTATCGAGGTGAAGGGTCGTTAAGAACTTATCCGTTGGTCACACATGAGTTTCCACGTGTACAGTACACACGAGTAGTTATAGCGGCAGAGTAGTGGATATAGTACTCCTCGAGTTCCTTGAACGCTGACCGAAACTCGCTTACATCGTCTATGTTATCATAGATAGGAATGGAGAAACGAGAGGAGAGAGAGGGTGGAGAGAGAAAGAGGGGTGAAAGGGTGAGAGGGTGAGAGGGTGTGTGTGTGTGTGCGTGTGTGAGAGAGAGAGAGAGAGGGAGAGAGAGACAGCGAGGACCAAAGCCCAGCATTGGATCGCTCGGGGCAAGCTCGCGATACCGAAGTTCGGAGCGCTTACGCTTGCAGGTCACCTTGTCGGTGTAAGCCGCGCACAACTACGTGCGCCGCATCGGAAATTCGTGTATAGCGTTAATTTGGTTATTACCGGGCTTGCGGAATAATAACGCCGGCCAACGAACGCGACCAGCGAGGGCGGTGTCGGTAGTATCGAAAGTCACCGCCGCGAAACGAGAGATGTATAGCGTATAGAGATCGATGCCACCGGGATAACACGGGGTTTCGGACTTCGTATTGGATTTCGTTTTTGGGGAGAATTTATTTTGCGCCGACCGCTGCGAACTGTGTTGCGCTCCGCACACCGTGTTTTCGGAGCAAAAAGCGATAGGTGATCCTGCGGAAACTTGAAACAGTCGGTCAGTAACTTCCTGAATATGTAACGTAATATTTTTCATGAATAAAACCGACGAGTTTGCCACCATCTTTGACAGTTTACGAACTGATCGAAAGGTGTTACGACCCATTAACACTTGTATTAAAAAACCGCTCCTTTCAAAATTTCTTGAAAAATTGTATACATACATGATACACAGAAAAATTAGGAGTCATAATTTTGGAGTGCAACTAGCTGTTCTTAACATCATTTCGAAGATATATTGTTTCAAATGTTATCGCTTTGGTATTTCGAGTTTTCTTTCTCAATTCTTTTAAACAATTGCCGATCTGCAAATAATATTAAAAGTAATAATAATCAATTATTCACAATATAGATACATTCGATATATAAGTTTTTGATAGCTCCAGTTCAGATATAGATTGTTATTTGTGTAAATACCGCAATGGCGTTTGCAAACAATTGTATATAGCAATTACACTCAATAGTAACTACTTCGACCAAAAGCTACCGACTTCGAGAGGACACTTGACTATTTCTTTTCAACGAGGTTTTCTTGTGTATCAAGGCTTCTGCCGTGGTACTTGTCAGTGGATCAAGTGGCGGGCGAGCTCCGGCATTTAATCCCCGGGCATTTAAAATTTAATGGGCCTGTCGTATACGCGAAGCTTCCAGGTGGATGCCTCTTGAACTTGCTTAAATTCAAAGGCCTTTGACGCCAGCCATTTTTATTCAAATGACGCCTGATAGACCTTAATTGAAGCTAATCTCAATTTTATCGATTCATAAAACACACTGTGCGCTGAAACATAGACGCAATGCAAAGATGCAATATCTTCGACAATATAAAAGTGAAAATATAAGAAATGCTGTTTGGATAACGATGCATATAATTTATATTAGCTGTTTTTGTATTTTATAATATTAAATTAGTTTTCTAACCTTACATTTATTTAAATTCTCTTTCTGTAATTTTAGTTAAGATTAACACAATTTATTGGATATAATTTACATTAAAATCTAAATTAAAAACTGTGACGGAAGTCTTATATTTTAATCGCGACACGATTATTTCTGATATTACAAGTCATATAAGTTTTTAAAACTGTGATAAAATATTTTTAATACTATACAATATCTTTTCTGCGAATTATATATTATTACAAATAAACTGTAACTAAAAATAGTTGCTTACAAAAATTATTAACAAAATTATATTAATAAAGTTTATAACATTAAAATGTTACAACGCGAATGGAGAGAGATGACCTACATATACACGCGCGCACATTACAGTACTAAAATAGAATCTATCGCGAGAACCCACTTTAATAGTCGCGATATCTCGCGATAAGCAAGATTCTGCAATATATTTTCAAGTTATATTAAGAACGACATGTCAGTCACTTATAGTGATACATTTACATTTTTAATAAGATATATTTGTCCACGCTAAGAAAGACTACAATTAAATTATTAGAATAAATTGGATTTGTTATATCGTGACTAACCAAACTTATAACAGTCAGATCTTATTACTACGAGAATGTTCAATTAGAAATTACAATCCTGGATTTGCACGGTGCAAAAATCGTCGGCGAAATGTTGATTTTCGCGAATCAAGGTTGAAACGGCTCTTGAATTCAAAATGAAGCTCGAAATGCATTTCTAGCATTACGCCTTGCAACACGGAAGGAAGCAAAATTGCGCATAGCTGCTCACGGTGTGCGACGTTGGTATCCACCATATTTAAAAAGCCTTAAGAGTCCGAGGGCGAGGCAGTGGGCAGTCGTTGGATTATTCCTGAAACTTCGACAATTCCGATCGGAACGCGTTTAGAGAGTCGATTTAGAAAAGATGTTCGTAGTGAAGCGCGTTTCAAGGACGGCCGTAATAGCGTTATTAAAGAAATGGCCGATCAGAACGATCAAGAAACCGTCGATGTTACGGCTAGCGAACGAACGGATAGACCAACGAATTATTAGCAGTCAATATTACTGTCGATGACTGCTATATTATGTTCGTGGGATCGCACATTTTAACAGACTATAGCATCGTAAATAGACGTAAAGTTCAACCCTACGTCCGAGGTTTAAGGCAAATGTTACAGAAAGTATTTTTTTAATTTTTATTTTTTTATTTTTTTATACTTGACACTGGGGGTGTTTTATGAAATATATCTCTGCAGTAATTTCTTGCTCAGAATTAATCAACAAGATTAGACAGAACAACTTCACAAATTTTCTTTTAGCATTTAAATCTTTATCGAAATTTATAGAAATAAATTTAAATATTAATAAAATTAATGTATTACTTGAATTTATGCAGTGTTTATATATATATATATATGTATAGAAGTTTGTGTGAATTTTTTTATGAGTTTTCTAAATACTTTAACGTAGGGAAAATAGCGTCGAACGCAACAGACTTACGTATGTACTGGAAAGGTATACCCGTATACATACGGAAGCTTAAATGTTAATGAAATTATTTTATTATTTAAATTTGTGCAGTGTTCATTTATACGAATACTTGGTACCTATATAAAAAATATCAAATGATGTTTCTATAAAATTAATTTATAAATAATTTATTTATGACGTAATATAGCAATAAACGGGATTATAGTTAGCATTCAGAAATTACGGGAAACGATTTTTTTTTACAATATTATTTGGTGTCATTTTGACACCATAGGACCTACAGTTTATAACGCCGATTCCGAACGGCTTTTTTATTTTTTTGTATTTTTTGTATTATTTTTTTTTTTTTATGTTCATAAGGTATCATTAGTGAGAGCCGGTATTCATAATCGGATCTTATTTTGGTCTTAAATATAAGATCTGACTATGAATACCGAGCGGTGTCATTCCAACAAAAGCTACTTTTATATACCATCGTACGTCGTATTTTAAATACGAGAAACGCCAGCTAGCGGATCCCATCTAGCGGATGATTCGACATTCGCATACATAGACCTTATAGATATGGACTGAGACAATACATAGCAGACGGCTGTCCGGAGTAAGTTGGAGAGAGAAACATACTTTTCAGTACTTCTCTTTCTTAAAGTCAGGATCGTCTCTCCTCGTGTGCAGAGAGTGTGCCGCACACTCGGAAATAGCAAGAGGATTACTTAAAACATATTTCACATAAGTGCTTCACAATTATATTCTCAATGTTAAGCAAAAGTGTACTGGTTGGAAAATTTCGAAATAGAAACGCGTGAAATTATTTATAAGTAACGGAATAACACATGCGACAGAACCGCAAATAACTTTTATTTCACAGAAATCTCGAGAAATTATTAATTTATAAGCAGCGGAATAGCGCATATATATATGCGACTGAACCACAAATTACTTTTAACGAGTTTTAACATATTTATTGTTAAGCGTATTACCAGAGTTGAGTATGAATATACGATGTTGAAGAAAAGAAAGAAGGTTAATAGGGGCGTTTTTTTGGCTTCCACGGGATCTTCAAAAACAATTTCTTGTTTTGTATTGTATGATCATTAGGAATATCAAAAAATACTATATTAGAGATGAGAAAAAAACTTGATCCAGTATCATTAAGTAGGTATAAAAGCAACTGCATGGAAATATTAATCAGACTCAAATTTCTGTCGATTTCAATAAGATTATTTTATTATTATTGCCATAAATAATCTATTTTTAGTTTTCGAGGAAATCGCAAATTTTGATTATATGTATATTGTGATCTAGGGTTCGCAAATATTTGGCATCTGCTTGAATAATACCACATTTGTTATACAATAATATCGTTAATGAATTGCATACATACCCACGCGCGATGGAAAGCTAATATTAGTATACATGTTTGAATCGGCATAACAACGAGCATTAATCAAATCGTACAGTTCATCATACTTGATATAAATAGATAAATGAATATAGACCATCGAAATCAGACAAGTATCAGGAAACACAATTTATTAATTCTTTCTTACGACTCTCATAAAATAAAATTAAGACGCTGATATTTTAATAGATACTAAAATTAATTAATAATATTTTAAATTAGATATTAAAGGCAGCGTAATGTAATTACGTAGATGTCATTTTTGATATAACTGAAATAAATAAATTGATTTGAATTTCTGATAATAAATTTTAATTTTACTGTAAAAATCGACTACAAAGTTTAACGTTATTTAATTTTAATTTAATATTATATTTTAAATTGAATCTAACGCAAATTTTTTGAAATAAGCTGTTAATTCACAAGCTGTTAAATTTTGTAATAAGTATTTATATCCACTTTGCTATCGCCGAGTCGTAAACATTTCTAGTTCCAGCGAAATAGTACAGTAGCGTACTACATCATTGTCTATTTCGCAAATATTCCTCATGTTCCTCGGGAAATCCCTTGGAAATTGTGTTAATCCCAGCAATACTCTTACCGATCTGTCATATGTGAATTTTCACGACCTAAGTTTCTGAAAAAACTTCATTAATACTCGAACTTTTGATCACTTTATGCTCTGATTAAGAGAACTTTTAGAAAGTCAATTTTATAAAATGATACATTTTATCTCTCTCCACTTTTCTACTAAAAAAAAAACTCGTTATTTATTTTTCGGTTATCATGCTATATCTTATTATTCTGTATCCTTTATAAGAACATTTCGCTTGAAAATGAATCTTAGTACATGAAAATATATTGTTGTCGCTTTTAAAAATTGCTATGATGGCATTTTAAACACATTAGCTTGAAACGTGTGAAAAATTACTAATAGGGTAAACTCGGGTAAGATGGCCATAAATACAATTTTATATTGTTTAATAAGTATTGTAGTCGATGAATTGCTAATTGCTAATTCATTATTTCTGTATTAATTATATAAAACAGCGATATCATAAATTAAGTATTTAATTATTTACTTAAAACTTTTTTCTTTTCAATATAGAACACTCGTTTTAACTGTATATACAATATATTATGTACACGCGCTTCGTAATAAGGATCAAAGATTTTTTTAAATTGTTTGTTAAAGTAAAAGTCGAAAGAAGCTCTAGGCATCTTTAGAATTTTATATGATATACATATTTTTTTAATTAAAAGATAGGATAAGACGGCTGAATTTTATATGATATGTAGTTTCTTAATCAAAAGAAGAGGTAAATTTTATTCTTTAAATAAACGTTAAACATACACAACGATAATAATCCATATATCGAAATTGATTTGTGCGAATGCAAGAAACAGAATATTGAACATGAAATTATTTTATAAAATATTTCGGATTGATAAGAAATCAGTTAGCGCGAAGCTTTGATGTTTATTTTTATGACGTATAGCGCACTGCATACCTAAGATCGTTTGTCGTCGTCGTGCTATTATTCGCACAATAACTTTTTATCAAAAGAAATATGTTGCGCGAAATATGTGTTCCAAGTAAAAAAGAATCAATAAAGTGAAAGAGTATTATATAAAAATTATATTTTTTAATTGTTTTGTGATTTTTTTTCTGGACAATAATTTTTTCTTAAAAAACGTTTCTCACATTTTAAACGTCTTGTCAATATGAATATTATTTTCTTTCGTATTGAATATTCTTACATGGAATAATACGAAATAATGTAAAGGATAATAAAACAGAGGAAGTAAACGCTGAGTCGAGCGGAACAAATTACGGAAAACTTATTACTTAATGTGTATATTTCGTTTAATAATACTTCGCAAGGCATTTTATATGTATTGTGCACGTAACATTTGAATTTCGATTATTTATATATTTTCAAACAGTTTATTGAGTCATAATTAGCCAGTAATTCAGTTTTATAAATCACATTGCTTAGAATGATATGATTATAAATATATTATAATAATTAACGTAAAAAGTAAATTTAAATCATTAAAGTAAAAATAACGTTTTGGGACGATAACAAGTCGGTTGGCACGCGGTCTTGGTATTTGTTCCCCCTCCCCTGACATACCACGCGCTATTGTGTGGCCCGGCGCGGCGCGGCACTCGGGCCTCGGGCGTGGGGGTCACCGTACGTGTATTGTTGTATTACTCCTCAACACGCGATCGCGGCAGGTAGCAAAAGATAATAAACGCTGTAATATCTTACGATTATTACAATAAATGATTATTAGTCCGCGTGATTAACGACTCGTAAGTGTATGAACACGACAATTCTTTAATCGAAGTGTATATTTCGACTTATTCTTACGTATGGATGTAGGTATGCTTTTATGGAAAGATAGACGATAAATATTGTAAATTATCGTTTCGTGATATCAACAGGTACAGGCAATAATTATTTTTTGAAAATTATAAATAAAAATCATAAAAAGTCATGAAAAAAATTTGCTCATCCTCTAAAAGTTAATGCTTATTGTTAGATCCCAATTTTTCTCGTACGGTGCATTAATCTTTTCGTTTGTTAAATTATATAATGTGCTTCCTATTTTTCGACCCAGAGCACAATGTAATTCTCGGATTAAGTGATACAGCTAACGATGCAATATGTTGATTTGTTTATTTATAATTACTTTGTGATTCAATGAATTAAAGATTCGGCATTTTTTACGCATTAAGTATTTCACGGCGGCGCGGAACTTGACACATACAGTTTAATTAAATAGTTTACAACAGTGAATAAACTGACATATGTTTGATATTTATTTTTAAAGGTGAACCAATAATTATATGGTTTTTTTACTTTCTCTTTCTTTAGATACTTCTTTGACGAGGCGGAAGGACAGTAAAAACCCAACGACGCGCGGACGGAGGTGCTAACGTACCCATCGTCAATTTCGTTAAACAAATTTGCCGGTTTGTTGCGTCGCGTCGCACGATAATTTCGGGAGTGTCGTTCGTAGTAATTGAACTAAAAGACTTTTCTTAAGGCCATTCGATTGACGTCCTAATTCGAACCGGCGCGGTGGTCGCACTTCCGATATACCTGATGAAATAAAGCATTATTGAGGCGTTGCCCGGGCAATGTCCTCACGCCAAGTGCATCGTGGCGGCTACAATGTTCATAATATGTGTGTTCGCGGGGCTTAAGTAACTTTAATGAATTGCTGACAAATCGAAGAACGTGTTCTGTCCAATAGTCTGGTCCTAATCAGCAAGAGTTTGATCGATTGATTTGAATCCATCGCTTCTTTTGTCTACCAATTATCCTATTCATCATTTACGTTTACGGTGTCGCCACATAAATTGTGTACAAAGCTGGTTTTGCCAGCTTAGCTGGCGGTTTAGCGCGTTGAGAAGTCCCATTTCCTGGATTGTCTGGCATTGGCAATGGATACCTTCTTTCTCATTACGTCTGATCTGATTTGTGATATTGTAGCATACCATTCTGGTATACCACGCTGGTTTCTCATTTGAATCACGGTTAATTAATATATGGTCGAGTCAGTTCTAGATGTGATTTTTGCACGAGACAAAAGTTGTCGAATTCAATTCGATTAAAGTTATCATCTCGTCGATTCGAAGTGCAAACTCGTCTAACAGAATATGATAGCTTATCATAGGCTTAACGGGTATAAACGGGAGTATTACGTGAAAGACTTGTACAATATAGATAATTAGTTCGCGCGCAGATTGTAGTTATTCGCAAGTGTTTTTCGCGAGTGAGTGCAACGTGAAGAGGAGATCTGACAATTCACCATTCTGAGAGGAGGAGGAGACCTAGGAGAGGCATCGGGCACCGGCGCGGCGGAGCAACCGTGAGTATAACTTCTTACCTACATAAAATTAATCTTTACATGTTTTCTCGTTTATTCAAATCGTTTTATTTTGCTCGTTTAAAAATAATTATTAGAGAAAAATGAATAATCCAAATTTTGTAAAAGTTTATTCTTTCGAAGATCATTTCCGGAAAATATATAATTATTTTAATATTGTAACTATCTACTATCTACTATATAACTAATTGAAAGACAAATGAAAAATATGACGCGCGTAAGATTTATCTTTTGAAACATTGATTATCTTGAACACGGTTTTAATTATTTGAATCTTATGTTTGTGTTACAGAATCATCGTAGCTACGTGGCTGATAACTCCGCCCGTTGCACATCAGATCGGTGAGTGATGAATTTTTTATATTAGGGTAACGAACCTATGAAATCTGTGAAATTAGGTGTGATTTATTTATTAGTACTCACGTAAAGGTATATATGTAAAAATAAACGAATACGACTTTTCACTGGTCCGTTGCCCTAAAATGGATCGCCTAAAAAAGATTAGCGGCAATTAAATAAAATGTATTTAATTAATGTTTGTTTTTATGTTTCTTATAAAAACGACTTTTATTTTAATACCGAGAAATAAACATACGGAAAAGTATTAAATTAAAATTTTGTGTTCAAAAAACTTAATATAACTTTTATTAATAAAAAAATTTATTAAATAAACATGTAAAGAGATTTCCGCTGCAGAACCAAAATTAAATCCGGGTTTTCTTGAATTAACTCGGATTTCCAGAAGTAATGGTTTTGGTATGAATTGGCGACATCCACTGTAAATGTTTGAAGAGTTACGAAATTAATTAGGGGGGACATTATGAGAAAAAAGTTCATTCTTTTCAATAAATGTTTCCTTATTAATTATTTATTAGTCTAGAATTAATATTAGCTTTGCCTTACTTTGCCTTACTTTGAACAGACAGTAGCGGAAATATATTAGGTATAGAAACGATAATTGCTTATAAAATAAAAAAGCGAAAAAATAGAAAAAAGATAAAAAGAGCAAAAAATTTATAATGTAACGTTATTTTGACAAATAATGAAAAACACAAATGAATATATTTTATTCTTAAATTTGTAGTTTCTTATAGGAAACCATTTTTGAGCACCTATTTGCTCATAACATCAAAACTGTTTATATTGTTTTATAATAAGATATAGACGCAAATTTATAAAAGAGCTTTATGATTTTTTGTTAACTAATTACATGAATGTAATTAAAATGCGCGAATATATTTATTTGCGCATGTAACAAGCTTTAATATACCAGCGCATATACATCTCGTTTTTAAATATATGTACTTGTTTGTAACCACTTTTGGTAACAATTATTCCATCTATGCATTTTTCAGTAAAAAAATATATGTTTTAATAATGGGTATGTATTTTAATTATAAGAGAAAAATAGAAAGAGAGAGAAGGGGAAGAGAAGAGAAAAGTCAATCTAATAAAGTACATTTTTAACAACAAATTTTTAATATTACATGCAAATTATATAATTATTTGTTTTTATAAAAATATAAATTGTTGGTTAATTAATCCATAAACAAAATTTAGTTTAGTTAGATTTATAAAAATTAAGTTTATCTTTGCTTTATATGTATATAATAATACTGAATTATATATTTTTGAACGGTTTTAGGTTTGTTTTATAACTGTGAAATGAAATTTACATTAATTTATTGTCATCTGTTTTTTTCTCTTAAATTTTTATGTTCTGACATAAATTTGTAAAGTATTAAATAAAATAAGTGAAAAATAAATCGGGTGGAGTAATTAATTTTCTGTCTTTTCTATTAAAATCAAAGGTAAACATTTATTCTTGATTTGTTAATCTCATATTAATTTTATTCCTTTTAAAATGTAAAAATTTGGCACAAAATGATAGTGGATTAATTGAAAACATGTTTTAAAGAAATGGAGAGAACAATTATTATTATTTCTCTATGATTAGATTTTAATTTTCTTTATTCTATGTAAAAAATAGAGGAAGGGAAGAGAGTGGAAGAAAGAGAAAAAGTGAGAGAGGGGAATTAATCGTCAATCAGTCAGTATTTATCTTTCCACGCTTTTAGCGGATAATCTGATTAGTAATTAGCAATCACTTATCGATTCCATATAATTTCGTTACTTATAATATAGTTTAATGAATACTCTGGGATATCTATTATCATATCATCAATACTTATTTATTTATGTTTATTTAAGTATTTAGTTAATTACTTGCAATCAGTAATTTAAATATAAATCAGGAATTAATATTTAAATTAATATCTAAAAAATAACATTAGGTAATGAAGTTAGATAGTAAAATTAGATGAGTAATTTTTAACTATAACAATTATTTTTTTGTGATCGCTTATTGTGTAATATATTGTTTAATATATGAGGAAATAATCGATCCTTTGCAGGCGATCAAATAAAGTTTATGATATTCTTGGCCAATCACTACCACGATAATGACGAACTTGTTACTTGACGAAATCGATTGTCGATAATTCTTATATTCCAGAATACAAACTTTTCTCATGTCTCATTAAAAGAAAAGTATAAATAATTTATTTTCTTGATAAAATCATCAATATTGAATTTGGATCTTATATACATATATTTAACATTGAATTTTTAATTTGATTGCTCATTTTGATTATGCTATAAATAGAATAAGGCTTTTCGTGGAATGTAACAGGAAAAAATTGATATATAAACGTGAAATGAGAAACAAAAATAAAATCTGAAATAAAACAAAACCTAAGTAAAATAGTTCAGTAGCAAGATATCCAATTAATTTAAGCTGCAAATCATCGTAGATAGCTATCTTCGCGAAGTCATTGACGGAGCAAATCATCAAGATGCCGATCTAGCAAAAGTTATTAGCAAGATTACCGAAATTCGTGTTCGCAGAAATGCCGAGGTAGATCTCTGAGAATTTGACCTAACTGATTTACTTCTGGTAAAACTCTTGTGAAGTTAAGAATTACATTTAGTGGTAAAATCAATGGAACAATCGAGTTCGCGGAATCTACGGCATTGGAAGAAGGTAAAGCAGAATTAGTGCAATGTAGGAGGAACAATCTGGATACGTGCCGAAAGTAGCAACAGAGGAAGAAGCATCTATGTTAATGTTACCATTCCATTCGATGAAAAAGAACTAGATAAATTCGTGCGAGAAGAGCTTGCCAGATTAGACATTAAAGTTGATAACGGAGTCGGTGTAATAAAAATTATCGAACCTGTGGAGATGGAAGATGTTGAGATTCTGTCATTCCCGGATTTTAGAGAAAGGGACCAGGAACAAGAAGAAATCGACTTATTCGATTTACCACGGGCGACGGTCGCCAGATTGAAAGTCAGAATCAAGGATAGAATCAATATAAGAATCAGATTCACAGACTCTGCCGTATACTGAAGGGAGCACAATTAGCGCAAGACAGTGGGATCGATTTGGATTCGTGGCAGCGGAGAAGGAAGTATTCACAATGGCGGTACCATCAGATTCAACGCGCGGGAGCTGTAGAAAGAAATAAAAGATGTCGGAGTTTTACCAGCCGCGAAATTAAATCCAGAAGAGAGATCCGAGCGGAGGAACGAGGATGCAACATTCATGTTAGTTAGATTGCACGATTAGATTCGGCGAACAACGGATAGAGGAAATCGCGTAGTTAAAATTCGACGGAGTTGAATTTATTGTGTTATCCGATGAAATGTTCCTAATAGATACGTAGTAAACCGATAATAACAGTGGAATTCATAATGATTGTCGTTAGATAGTTAAAATAAAACGAAGCTAGGACAAATTTATTCTCCAATATGGCACATAAAATATAAAATTGGAATACAGTTTTATTCTATAGTAATTGATGTTTTAGAACAGTTAAATTCGAAACGGAGACACAAGTTCTCTTTTCGAGCTGCATTAATTGTGCAATATTTCTGTAAAAAAACGAAGCCGTTATCAATCATTAACTACGAGTTATGCTTCGCGTAACATGATAAATCGGGAATGAACGTGTTACAAGTAATATAATTTCTTTTTTGCGATTCTCACCCGCGCGCATTCTAATTTTAGTAATTAACGATCGTTATAGTTTTGCGGATTCATTTGTTCTCACGTAATTTTTTACTGATTGTTTCAATCTATGCAACTGTGCTCTCAAAAATAAGACTTTTGATAGACAAGTCGAAATGCAGTGTGTTTTATATAAAAGTTATATTTTTTTTCTCAAGTTCTTAAAAAGATGGTTTACGTGAATCATAAGGGAAAACTTTGGTCGTGAGTGTACCGAGATAAGCATTCTGATCGTGGACAGGCTGTAATAATGGAATTCCGCGAACAATCAATCGGAAAGCAATTAACGGAGGCGATCGTCGGCGAACTTCCCACCAAATTTCCTGTCGCGTTCGCTCGTGAGAAAAACGTCTATTGGGTAAATGGAACCGCGTAATTTTGTTGCAACAGTTGCACCGAGTTGCATACTGTAGGTCAGTTATGGTGCCGCACATGGCGTGATTAAAATGTGTGTGAGTGCAATTAAAACGCAGAAATTATTTTAACATTTTATATTCTTTCTAAAATATAATTATTTTCTTTCTCTATTTAAAGCAAAAATGCGCGAAAATATAGCATAAGAGATAACAAGGAATATTAACTATGCACTGTCCATATTCTGAGAAAGTACAAGAGCAACCCTTGTATCTATTTGTTAAAATAAAAAATGATCATTATATACTTTATACGTTATTTATTTTGCTTGAATGCCACGCATCGATTATATTACGTGTCACATTTATGATAACGTGATGCTTGGTTCGAGACACTTGTGCCGTGACACACAAAAACCCTTACATAAGATTAAACTAGCGATAAATCATAGCTGTCCCCAAAAATTTTTGTGATTTATGGATAATTTTACCGTATTTTTCTTTCACAATGCCTTCTCTCCGTATTTCATAAGCCCGACGCGAAATGTATTCTGCGCAATTCCACGCGAAATGAGATATTACCTTTAATACGGGCATGGCACTGTAAACAGCTTGAACTTGAGATTGTCGAGATAAATTTGCAACCAGCGCGCGAGTTTTTTACCTCGTAATTTTTTGATGACGCGATAAATAAATTTCACACGTAATACAAGTTATATTATTACTTTTACGGACATTATAAAGTAATAGAAAATCTCGATAAAAAATTACAATGTCTAATTCATTTTTTCTTTATTTTCTGATGATTGCATAACTGAAATGTATAAAAAATATCAAATGATGTTTCTATAAAATTAATTTATAAATAATTTATTTATGACGTAATAGAGCAATAAACGGGATCATAGTTAGCATTCAAAAATTACGAGAAACGATTATTTTTGTTTTTGTGTATTTTTCTTTACAATATTATTAGGTGTCATTTTGACACCATGGGACCTACAGTTTATAACGCCGATTCCGAACGGCCTTTTTTTTTCCCTCTCTTTTCTTTTTCTTTTTTTTTTTCTTTTTCTTTTTTTCTTTTTTTTTGTTGATAAGGTTCTCGGATGGGCCGGTATTCATAATCGGATCTTATTTTGGTCTTAAATATAAGATCTGACTATGAATACCGACAAGCTGTCATTCCAACAAGCTGCTTTTATATACCATCGTTCGTATTTTAAATACGAGAAACTCCAGCTAGCGGATGTCATCTAGCGGATGATTCGACATTCGCATACATAGACCTTATAGACATGGACTGAGACAATACATAGCAGACGCCTGTCCGGAGTAAGTTAGAGAGAGAAACATACTTTTCAGTACTCCTCTTTCTTAAGTGAAAATGTTGGACATATAAAGACTAAATTATATTATTACTAATGTAAAATATAATAAAAAGGGAATATATTTTTAATATATTTTATCAATTCATACAATTCATACAATCGAATGCGAGTAATGACATATAAAAAAACTAATTTATTTAAAATAGCTGTTAAGGAATTCATTTCGTTTGCTTTTGACAATTTTATATGACTGCACCAAGAAAAAGAGCTTACAATTTACAACTTAAGCTTACAGTTATAGAACGTAATGCGGTTTTATAATAATAAGAAGCAAAAATTAAAATAAAAGAGAAAAGTGTTCTCAGAAAGTTTAATCCAGATATTATAAGAAATAAATCAAGAATATTTCAAAAATTACCTGGAGAACAAAGCCTGATCGAAAGCCCAAATAATTTTATAAAAAAGGAGCTATTGCTATAAGACCTTTAAATTTAGTTGTATTCCATAAAGTTAGAGAGAGATTATCGTAAAGCTAAAAAAAACTATAAAAACTCTCGAAACATATTTTTAAAACTTTCGAACTTTCGATGGATTTCCAACCTAGTAAAACTGCAATGGTGTTATCAAAAAAATATTACCCCAGCAATTCAAAGATAATAACAGTTCGCTTTTGAAGGATACTTCTGCAACAAAACTCTCTGGGAATCGAGCGAGAGATTCAACAGCAGTGAGAGAGCGGCGCTTCGGAAACAATACGCGCGTCGCATCAAAAAGTTTTGCCGGCATGGCACAACGCAAAATTTTATTAGGGAAATCAAAGATGTCGCGCCCGCCATGAATGCGAATTGCAAAGCGGGATAAGGATTGAATCGAGTCACACTCACCGGCGCAGCTGTATCCATTTTTATGAAGTATGTAGCCGTCCCTGCAGTCGCACTCGTACATGCCGTCGTGGAGTTCGTAGCAGAGCTGCTCGCAGGGCGATCCGTGCCCGCATCTTCCTGAAACACGGTAGGGAAACGGGGACGTGAGTAAGTTATGCGTGCCGAGGGAATTCGAGGTGGCGCGAAGTGGCGAACAAAGGGAGAAACATCGAAATAGACGGCGGCGATGAGTTGCAAACGCAACTGTTCGCGCATTCTCCGTTCCCACCCCTAATAGCATATTTACACAGCTTGGACATATTTTGTAAAAGATCGATCCGTATAAAAATTTTGATATAGATATAATCTCTTATACCTTTATTTTTATCCTTAGGATATTCTTGTACAATCCGTATACGTCATACAGATGTGAATTTACAGTAACGAAAATTTTTAGATATATGTATATGTATGTAGGGTAGAGCGGGGTCAAAAGTTACACGGGGCGAAAGTAACAACTCAAATATCTATACCTATAGTTATAGATCTAGCTATAGCTATAAGATATAGCTCATAGATATAGCTTATAGTTATAGCTTGTTCAGCTTCATCCATTAACCAACAGACGCATGCGCATCTATGCCTATAACTATAGATATTTGAGTTGTTACTTTCGACCCCGCTCTACCTTACATACCTATGTAATACCTATAATGGATCTATTCCCCTTTTGCAAAAATAGCTTTGCAAAAGCATCCAGATAACGAGCTTCTTATCAGTTATCTAATCTGCAGATCTAAAGTCTCGATTTGTAATGCAAATTCGCATTTGTCTGGTATATTTCCGTTCTAAATTTTCGCGAGAACAGATGATTAAAGATGATTTTTATCGCATTAGTTAACTCTGAGACAGGATACCGGTCAAATATGCAGCAGTAAAAAAAAGACGATATGCAACTTCTCTAAATAATTTTCCAACAGAAGTAATAAATTGATTATATTTGCTGTTCGCCTTTTGACATATATTTCACAAATTTTGTAGAGTTTTACGCTAATATTTTACTAGCAGCTCTATTTTGATACATTTTTTTGTCAACACATCGCATTAATACCGAGGCGTAAAAAGAAGTTGTATAAAATTCGCGATGAGAAAAAGGTATGTTACGACATATACAGGCAACTAAATGCCATCGAGACAACCGCAGCGTAAAACTATTTTCTCGCGAATTTATTTTGTTATTTAATCCAACAACCAACAAATTTACAAAAAATATAGTGAAATATTAAATCGTGACAGGTGTACAAAACGTAATATTTAGAATTACAGCGTGGTAATTAGTTTTTCATTATGCTGAGTAACACGAAGGATTAAATCAATCTTGTATATGACATAAGAATTCTTTCGAAATAAATGTTGCGTATAAACTTATGTTTATGATTTAATTGAAGTGTCAACAACAATAACCTTTGGAATCTAAATAACTTAGTGCAATGATATGTATTGCAAAATCTAATATTTTGCAATATATATTTTTAAATATTGGATTTTATAATATTTTAATACTTTTTATATAATTGTTCTCTCTCTCTCTCTCTCTCTCTCATTCTCTTTCTCTCACACACACACACACACACATTTTGTTTTTATTTAATATATTCATAAATATACGAGCAGTTGTTAAACTACATGTATTTAGCAAGTTGTACGTAAAAACAATTCAACAATTAACATTCGTTCAATGTGACCGACCGATACGATTAAAAATTTCAGTGCTGACGTTTTATGTCATGTAATCGTCGTTGCAACGCTGAAATTTACTGCAAATATTTTACGACTAGCAATAAATTAATCAGTTTCACTGTTGCAATGTACGCTGACAGACCTTTTTATGAATGCACCAAATCACCACGCGTAATACGTTACAATGCGATATTCGTCGAAAAAGCAAGATTGAAAAATATGCACATCATTAAAAATATGTACGATTCGTAAACTTATCAAGATGAGCAATTTAACGAAAAGCATTGAGCTCGATTTATTTATTTGCAGTGGAAAACGAATCAATAATGAATGGAAATTGTTAATTATAACGTATGTGAATTATTTCTGTAATACTATTATGCATATAATAACTATTTTTTTAATTAATTATTTTAAACGTTCTATTATAATTTGAATATATTCGTATTTTATAAATCAATTTAGGGGTATGTTATTGTGTCGTGTTATCAACTCCGCTGCTGCGCATCGTGTCGATGCGTGTTAAATTATTTCACTGTGAAATACGCGAATTTTGTATTTTAATTTGAAGTAATGGATCTGTGAGAATTATATTATAAATACAAGAAACTTGAGTAGTTAAAGTTTAATTTAAAAATATTATAATCAAATATAACGTTTCTCTCACAGATCCATTAAGAACAATATTTTAGCTGATTTGAATAGCTCACGTAGTATCTGCATATAAAAAGTCAAAAGATAAAATTTACTAAACTGTAAAATTCAATGTTATCTAAGCTGTAAGAATCAATAACTACGCGATAACATTGATCAACTTTAATCACTTTTTATAATTCGAAAACTTGTGGCTTTAATATTATCAATCAAGATTTTTTTATTCGAGTTAACCTTTGGAATATGCTATTAAAATATTAAATGACAGTGATTGTGGAACACTTTGTTTAATAAATTTTTTTACTATTACTTATAAAATAATATTTTTAATAATTCCAAAAAATTATATGGACCAGAGATAGTAATAGTATAATGGATAATAACAGGAATAGAGTAGAATAATTATAACAATTTGCTTTGATGTTAAAACTAACAATTCAATTCGTTCAAGAATTATACATATTAATGATAATGATATCATATTCATGAATAATGTTTAAAAGTACTACAAATCGTATGTACATGTGATGTTACGATTTGTATTTTGAACATTATTGTGAAAAGAACTGCAGGTACAGGAGCAACGATTTCGTTTTAGCAACGTCAACATTAAACATTCACAACGATATATTTCCCAACGATTTCGTGAAATAGTCAAAATAGCGACATATTGCGAAATATTTTACATAAAGCGCAATTGGATGGGGACAGCATGGGAGCAAAAAAGATTTAATAAAAAAGTGCATTACATATTGAATGCAGTAAAATTTCATGGCGCTTTTATTTCCAGCGAGCTCATCTTTCGGACAGGCATCACGAATGAAAATAAAGCGCATTCAATTTGTATGTGGACTTTTCAATTTGCACATATGCATACCTAATGCGTATATTTCACACTTAATTTTAGTTTAACGAAAGTGCTTGCTAAGTGGACCTCATATAAAGCCAGCCATTCGCACAACGATACGTACAATTAAAATATTTCTGTGTTGTCGGTTTGTTTATGAAAACGTTTTAATCAGAATTTTATTTCTGATTTTCAATTTTTTAATAAAAATATTTTAAACGGCTCGAATCCTTTTCAGTCAACATGTTTTTGCCATTATAGTACATAAATAGAAAGCCACGTGCTTTATGAGTGTACAAACATATAAATTTTCATTTCCACAAATATTACCTTCTTTTCTATAATATGATTAACAAATTGAAGTTACTATTAACACGCGTATGCAGTTTAATGATGCAGTTTAATATAATAATATTAATAGCGACGGTTTTACATATATAAAATGACTTGTTTTTCCTTTCTACATCAAATATTTTCCTCGTAATATAAAACCGTACATAAACTTCTCATATATTTTAGAGAGCAGAGTAAATATTTTATATCGATCGTATCTTCAAAATTGCGAGAGCAACCTAAAGTTTTTTTAATAGCTTCTTACATGTTTACCACGTTAAAATAGAAGCCCTAATTGAACAGCAAACTAGTATGTTTATCATATGCTTATATGTTTATCGTATGCCAGTATTATACGTAACAGAGTTTATATATGCACTCTGAATCTCTCATTTACATAATGGATGAATTACGTAGAGGAGGATCTCGTGGATGCCTCAATAAACATAGTAATCAAATATAGTGCCTGTGTACATTACGTTCCACGTCAGAAAAAGACGAGCGCGTAAAAAGCGGAATTGGCGGAATTGTAAAATTAGGTGTTTGCACAACGAAACGATTAATAAAACATAACGCGAGCGGGAATAATACTGGAAGAAGCGAAATCCGCTGTTGAATCTGCGACGCATGCACGCCGAACTTGCGTCGCGCACGCTGCGTTCTGCGACGAATCACGCGACTCGTTTCACCTCGATGCACTACATTCTTCCATAGTTGCCCACCCCCGCTTGCCGCAGACATAGGACATTGAAAATTCCAATATCCCGCTCGGTCGTGTGTGTACTTTTTACGAAAAACTGCCCGCGTGGGAAAAACTGGCATTATTTTCATGGCGGTACACTACCGGGAAATATATATCGCATTGCACTCGACTCGTCAATGCACCGGCTATACGTAATAAAACCGATGTCGCGCGCGATGTTTCGTAGAATACGATAGAATTTTGTTCCGGCGGTTGTTGTAAATATACCCATGCATCAAAATTGTCAGCTCCGAAACTATACTCTCGTCATTGTTAATTTAATTCGTTATTTATTTGCTAAGCTCATACGATCGACTTTTTATTTGTTAAGACATCCGATTACACGAGATCTTACGACAGTGAATTTTTTTGTACATATATTTTCCCTTCTCTACCCCTCTATCTTTGTCTTTTTATTTCTCATTTTAATAATGTTGTGCAATATTCTCTTGCGAGAAATTACAGCTAAAGGACGCTTCAGGTTTACTTTTGACAGAGGAGCAATGAGTTTAGACTCGAGAGATATTGATATCCGGTTACCCGGATACACCGCGCATCCGGGTAATTACTCGACTTTCGGGAAATACTCAAGTTCTCATTACCCGGGTACATTTTCACGTGAAACGCGGAATTCAAAGCATACGCGAAATGTGGGTAAAGCATATGAATGTTGACACATGAAGGAAACAGACAGAAATAGTTGCAGATAATTTGCAATCCGATGAAATTAAATAACGGATAATGTCGTACGCGGATAAATACGGGCATAAAATAACAAAAAGAATGTTCCATATTTTACAACAGTTACTACATGGGTCCGCC